GCGCTGTCCGCACGCAGCGGCGGTGCGCGCCCAGCCTCCGCGCTCACTTATGATCGGGGCCTTTAGCTCCTTCTTGGAGCACTTTCTCCAGCGCTTTCCAGGGAAGTTGGGGGGCGGGGGAGGCAAAGGGGGCGCAGACGGGGCTGCTTGGGTTTCCACGTCCCGCTGGTACCTTCTCCCCCACCTGAGACCACGCTCATCCTCCTTCCTGCGCCCCCGCCCCAGGTGCCAGCCCTTAGACCCGGCAGACACCGCGCTCCGCCTCCACTGCCGCCCTCCCCTGCGGTCGGGCTGGGACTTACGTGTTCTGCTCCGGGCTCCCGGGTCTTTTTCTTCTCCCCAGTTTTACGGGGCGGTAATTGACATAGAGCACCGTGTAGGTCTAAGGGGGACAGTTTATTGGCTCGACTTTCATATAGAGCAGTGGTTCTCAACCTTGGCTGCACATTAGAATCACCTGGGAATCTTTTTAAAATCCTGATTTCTGGGCCTGCCACTGATATAGCGTGAAAGGATTAGCACAAAAGTTTAGTTACCATCAGTCACCTCGTGAAAAAAATTCCTTTCCTTGTGATAAGAACTCGTAGGATCTCTCTTAACAAATTTGAAAAAACCATACTATGGTCGTTACGTACATTACAGCCCTAGAACGTATTTTATAACCGGAAGTTGGTACCTTTTGACCACCTTTATCCAATTTCCCCATCTCCTGTCCCCCACCTCTGGTAACCACAAATCTGATCTTTTTTGCTAGGAGTTTCAGTTTTTCTGTTTTGTTGTTGTTGGTGGTGGTGGTGGTGGTGGGGTTGGTGGTGGAGGTGGAGTGTGTGTGTGTGGCGCGCGTTCGCGCTAAGATTCCACATATAAGTGAGATCATACACTTACTCTGACTTATTTCATTTAGCATAGTGCCCTCAAAGTCCTTCCGTGTTTTTCCAAATGGTGCTTTCCTTCTTTCTCATGGCGGAATGATATTCCATTGTATCTATACACCACAACTTCTTTATTCATCCACCTGTAGACACTTATTCCCCATGTCTTGGCTATTGTGGGTGATGCTTCGAACATCACTCCAACAGTGTTTTCATTTCCTTCAGTTATATTCCCCAAAATGGGATTGCTGGGTTGTATGGTAGTTCTATTTTTTTAAAAATATATTTTATTGATTTTTTACAGAGAGGAAGGGAGAGGGATAGAGAGAAATGTCAATGAGAGAGAAACATCAATCAGCTGCCTCCTGCACACCCCTTATTGGGAA